GACAGTTCGTCGGCGCAGCAGCGGCTGGAGGAAAGAGCCGCGCCACTCGCACTTCCTTCCTCGCGCGCGCGACCGGCGAGGGGGCGGAGGGGGCGCCTGGCCGCATCCCGGACGCGCTGGTCCCGACCCGGACGGGGCCGGCAGTCGCCAGTGGGCCGCGTCTCCGCCGCCAGTGCCGCTGGGAGCTCGTGAATCCCTCTCGCGAAGCGAACCGTGTTGAACTGTGCCGTGCTGCGGAGGGCCCGCCCGGTTGGTGGTGCAGCCGGTCGCCAGCGGAGGCGTCATCCATGCAGGCCGCGATCATCATCAACCACGGCCAGATGCAGCGCAGCCCGCTGCCGGAGAAGAAGGCCATCGACAAGTCCCCGGCCGTCACTCGCAAATGTGTGAGTTGCACCACCATCTTTTCAGGCCAATCAGCTTCGATCCAAGGAAGGAATGCATGCGTTTCCTATTCAAGCACACGTTGTGTAGGCCTGAAGGCAGATTCTGGCGTAGCGGGCCTAAGGGGTCACGTCGATCCTGCAGGGATTGAGCTAAGAGGTTCATCCTCCAACCCCAGTGCAACCGTCCACGGACGACACCTCAGTGCCAGTTAATCCGATTGATTGTTTAGGGGCACGGCAACGTCTATGGTCATTCCTTCCGCTAGTATAGTGAATGTTTTATCCTTGGATGTAGCGGTATTCTTCCCCTGACGGATGGTGAGATTTGGTGTCAACCTACACGTCCATTTACCGGGGATTTCCCCTGTCAGGAATCTCCCCAGCGTGGCATCGCCCGAGCCACGACAAGCCCCAACTGGCCTCCCGATAAGCGTGGCAGCGTGAGTGCAAGTAAGGGGAGAGGTTATGACAAGGAAGAGGATGGAATGTTCGCACGGGTTCATGGCTCGTTTGTTAGGGCACAGTTAATGCATTCGTCTGGTATTGATTGTAGAAACTGAGGAAAACTACCGATCAGAGCAGCCGGCATGACATTCTCGTTCAGACAGTGTCTGAACATGGTTGGTCAGAAAATCAGATTCGAATGCCCAAGATCACATGTCGACAGGTGTTAGAGCCTGCGGATTGCTCACCTTCCATCTTTGGATACCGCAATTCAAATCCCCGGTGATCCAGGAGGAATTTCTGGAGGACTAAGCGCGTCCGCGGTGCGTTTTCAAGGGGCTCTCCCTTTCTTTCTCTGGCATTCCACCCATACTACATCATCATTCAGATCATAGCAACATCGTCACTCATTCGTTAAATCAACTCATCCCAGGTGGAACCGTAAACACTAGGTTCCGGGAATCACGATCAAATTTACGGTTAGTCACTTATGAATACAGTCGACTGGTTTTGTCGAATAATGTATCTGATGAAGAAAGTACATAATTAATACTCACAAACCTGCCTTAAAGTTACAGGACTACTACGAAGCCCTGAATATGCTATTAAAGGTTTTTTATCAAAAAATTTGCAAGTGACCATTGACTGAAATTCTATATTTTGTAGTAAAATCACTGCTGAACGTATTGTACTTGACATTGTTGTGTCGTATCAGTGGCATTCAATTTAATGATAAAGTTATGCGATGGGTTCAACAACAATGTGTAATCTAACTCGGTTCAACAGAGACTTTTCATTCACTTGCTTTGTTAGTATTGTGATTCCTTGTATAGTATTTGAGTAACCGGCCGTTAGTTCGTCACTTACAGTGAAACTCTTCCTCTCCGTAAATCGAGACACATTAGCTGTCGTTCGACGCGTCTCGGTGTCCTGGTGGAAAACTGATGATTTGTTTGATCATCAAGCCAGAAGATACGAGTACTAATTTCTCAAAAAAGTGTGTTTTTTTTTGGTTTCTGAGGGCAACTAAATCGTGTTCTGAGCTATTGAGGTGATCAATAGTTCAATTTATTCCCCTAAGTGAGGTATATGAACTGGCATTGTTGCATATTCTTTTGGTATATTGTGAAAAGAAAAAAATACATCGTGTTTTGGGTGTTTCTAGGCACCTACCACTGTGAAACGCTGTGAATGTCGTCCTCTTCATTCAAAACACTGACAATATTTAAACCTAATTATGTAAGGAAACATATTTGTTTAAATCTCTTCTGCCAATGAATTACATACCATGAGAATCTAGTAGTACTAAAACAGCACATACTTTCTCGCATTATTTTTTCTTTACTCAGTTCTCAAAAATTCAGAGTGTTTAATGAAAATGTAAGCTCTACCGTCCTTTTAAGTGTCTCTCGTTCTATCCGTGAACAATTTTTGCTTAAACGTCAAAGAGAAATCACGCGAAAAATACTATTTTTTTAAAAAATAGTCTACCTGACCTTTTTTGAAGTAATGATGATTTTTTAGAACAGATTTCATTTTTTAAGACAAAAATTTCTGTCATCAATATTGAAGTTTTGCAATGTTAACTTTTAGCAATATTCGAAGACAAAGTTCCCTTGCAATGGGACTAACACTAATATTTTTACCGTTCTTTGATAAACATGAGGAGAAAATTTAAATAAAACTATCGTGCCGTTGTGAAATATAAATTTTGGAGAAATCGTCTGAACGGTTTAGGTGTTTGAATTGACCACAGAAAGACGTCATTCTCGTTTCGTATCAAAAATTCACAAACCATAAATTCTGATTGCACATGTGTTGGAGAAAGTAATTTACATTACATAAGAACAAACTTTATCCTTTCTTTCATTACCTGGGCCCGGCAATAACGATTATTCGGCTGAAAAATCGCAGTTTTCTGGCGCACGATCTTTTCTTCTTATGAAGTAAAGGGAAAAGGTGAAAAAATCCCAACCAATATTTACAAACGTTAAATGAAGATTTGGCTGTTAAAACAAAATAATGACATAGGTGATCTACTCCAATCACTGAAATAAAATGTGTTAACTGTAAGTTAAGTCATTTAGTTTGTTAAATAATGAATTATTTAGTACGTTGATGTATTTTCGATACGAAGGCAAGATATTAGGTGTTGTTTTTTGTTGGATTTGTTTTGAACGTGAGAATAACTGTCTCAGTGCTGTGACTCATTTGCAAGACCAATGTCGGAAACTAAGCATTTATGGGAACAAAATGATTCATGATATTACTCATAGAAACAGTACATTCCGGAAATGCAAATAAAATGGACGATTAGCTAGAAATGCGGTCTCGGGCTCATCTTTGCTCTTCAACCCTTCGTTCGAAATTGCCATCGCCGTGCCAAAAAAACCGCACACAGTGATTCGAATTGGATCTTGCAAATGTACAAATTTTCTAAATACGCTGCCTGATAAAAATAATGAAATCTTCAGAACGACCCGTAGGGGGCATTCGGACCTCGTACTTTGTATTGGAGTGGAAGTGGCTGTAGACTGAAAGAACATATGACAAGAAGAGCTGCGATTATGCAATTTTGGTAACTTTATTATTTAGTTTTAATATTTACATAGATAATTTTTCACGTACTACTCTCGACGATGAAAAACAAGGCAACTGTATGTTTAAATTTTCTTTTTATTTCGAACTTGCTTAGTAGAAATTTTCAACACATGAAAAAGCTTCTAAATCAGTTTAAATCGTTGGAGACGCCACATTTAGTTACACAATTCTCAATTTCCCCAAAGGCTTTCATTAACTTTCAAAAATACTGATGTAGTAGAGAAACTGACAATTATATCGGAAACGTAGTATACAGATCAATATGTGTTTGTTATATGTGGCACACTGGCAGAACTCTGGGTAAAAACATTCGAAGTGAAAGTGTATAATATTTAGATTGTACATAATTTAGTAGCTTTCATATCCACATTTGACTCGTAATTACGCTATCATTGCATGAATTAAAGAATACGAATTTTAATTTTGCTCAGTATTTTCCGCTTTCTCGATCAATAAAACTCCCCTCTATGTAAAAAATGGAGAAATTGTGAGAGGAAAACGCAGTTTTTCCAATGAAATTAATAATAACAGGCTCCTTTTGCCGTTCGTAAATTTCCGCTGCTGCAAGCGCGTTTAGCGGATTCAAATAAGGCGCGCAACGTTTATAACGTTCCGACTTTTACCACTAGAGATGAGAAAGTGCGCGGAGGTTCCCACATTAGCCGGCAGAGTGTGCGTGCGGCACCGTTCCGCATGATGGTGTGCGAGAGCGGAATGATCGCAGAGATCGCACGACTCCACCGATTTGCGTCGTAAGGAGACCCTCAAACCAGATCAAGTAAAACCTGAGGCGTCATTTACTTTTCTCTCAAAGTTTCCAATGTTTGTGATGTTAACAGTGTTGTGCCACTATTCGAAAACACTAACAAAGGCTATTTGTAGGCATCCACAGCGTCTGAACATTTTAGTGTCTTTTCACTTTCAATAACACATTTTTAATTTAAAAAATAAAAATAAAAACCTTACTCCATAATATAATCCTGAGGTAAGGTAAGTCTATCCTAAGTAGATTTCAGGTTATATTTAAAAAATTGAACAAAAGTTCCAGTTTCCTCGCTCTTATACCATTATCTATGATTAATGTTGCTTGCTCGAGTCCACAGGGAGATAAAATTTCAAATGATTAACATTTACTACATTAATTAATACACACCGCGTGCGAGCAAAATCATAATATTGACAACAACGTAGATTCTTAGCTAACATTTAAATTTTTTTGCACATTTTAAAAGTGCATTACATTTCCGAATATTTACACTTTTCTTTTGAAATGGTTTTAGCTGGGAACTGAATGTACTCATTTCTAATGTGCGATGCGTAGAATAAATAGGTAAATTCTTAAGATAACAGACCATAAATGGAGCGCTTTTTGATATGTCATTTAATAAATTTGAGAAATCATGTGGTAAATAAAAAATGTCAAAATACGTACCTATATTTGAAAAATTTTTTAACTTTTAAAAAGTATGAAAATATTGGAAACTGAACTAAATGTACATGCAGGGCCACGGCATAATTCGCGCAAAACGTTTAGACATTTTCGATCTCTTTTACCTCACTCATAGAAACATTTAAAAATGCGAAGAAAAACATTTCGTAGTTCTGTCAAAAACAGCATAAAATATGGAAATCGCCCTGAAAAAATGAAGTCAAATCAGAGACGATCCCAAAAATACATTTCACAAATTTACAGAAAATTGGAGACGGTGCTCGAGTTGAGCAGTTGACGCCCTCATGCTTTGTATGCTGCGCACGCCTACACTTCGCTCAAACTACAACTAAGAATGGTCTATGTATTATTAGAGGTTTCGAATAAGAAACTGAAGGCAGTGGTGAAATGGCGAGGTGCACCGTTTGAGAGTGCAAATGGAAGGAATTCAATTCCTTGCGGAGGACGTAAACTATTGCTGCAAAAATGCCGTACAAGCACAGCGTAAGACTTAGTCGCCAGCA